GAGTTCTTATGGGGGGGGGGGAGGGGGGAGGAGGAATTTTCTTTCTGTGTATGCACTTTAGTCCCGAAATTCTTAGCCTAGATGGCCTGATACCATTGTTAGATCCATTGGGATCGGGTAGGCTAGATATTCCGGTAGTTCTTGCCTTGTGCTTGTGGCTCGAGGAGCCACCGGTGCCGATCATGGTGACGGTGGCCGATGGTGATGATAGATCGTGGGTGAAATGATGGCGGCGGCTTCCCATCAGCACTGCACTAACCCTAGATCGGTAGGGGATTAGGTGGGGTGTACGGCTGTGCAACGAATCTCGTGATGCGAGCCGCCGGCCCCCACCTCTTTATATAGTGCAGGTGACAGGGGGCCGTCACCCATAGTGGGTTGAGCGCCCCCGATCAGGGCGCGGATCTAAGGGCCCGGTGGGCCGTTGGGCCCACACGGTGGAGATCATCCTAACATAAACATCTTTGCAAAAAAATATCACAGGAGTGGGATCCATTGTTTATATTGTTCTTCCTCGTAGGGCAACTTGACAGGGGTGTAAAAAACTTTGCAAAAAATCACAGGCATGGGACCCATTTTTACGTTGTTCTTCCTCACAGGGACACTTGGCAGTGAGAGTCAAAATCTTTGCAAAAAAATCATAGACATCGGGCCATTGTGAGAGATTGGTTAGTCGCCGATGCTTGTTGAAGCATGCATGCGCGCGCTGTGTCGTGTCATGGTGCTAGTGCTTTTGTATAATTGTGGATTTGTGGTGTCGCAATAAAATGAGTAAGTGATTCTCCTACCATGCATGGGAGGTTATTTCCATTTGGATAACAATGTTTTCATCTTACACTGTAAAATTTGGCTCACCTATAATATCAGAAATGTTACCTTGTCACTATCTCCCCCAATTGTTGTCATTGTCATTGTACAATGGTCAATAAAGCCAACATAAGCATACAAATGCTACCCAAGCTTGCCATTTCAAGTATATGCAATGGCGTATGGACATGATAAAAGCAGGCGAGCCGATGGTGACAGTCGGACAAGAGATACACCATAGATGGAAAGGCAGCTCAACTAACACGTTGATCATGGATGGCCTGAGGAGGCACACAGTTAAACCAACATGAGGTGGTACTAGAAGGTGGCGCACGTCTTCGCCATGCTATTCTTCTATTTAGGGTTTTGAGGTTAAGGTTAGTGAATTCTTAAATCTATTTTTTCTCGGCGGCAACTGAATTTTCACGGGCTTGTAGATGTATGGCGACGTCGGTGGGCCTATAAATGGGCTTCCTTTGCGGCTGTGTCTCATCGATTTTTAGCCGAAATTAAGTATGTGGTTCAGTGGTTATTGGGTGACGGAAACAATTCCATCAGAAAAGCCGAAGCTGTCAGACAGAAGGGGCCAATAGCGGCCAAAGAAGTCAAACCAAATGTGCAAAGTTCACACAGTGTAGAAATCTAAGCAGCATAGGGAGTTAACTGATAAGACGAAGGGGATAGATGTCGTCCTGCCTAGAAAATCTGTCATGACGACGACATTTATTTATTTTGACGAAATAAAAACAAGGAATTGTCGTGCCTTGCAAGCTGCAACAATAGTATCCACGTCTTCTAGACACAACAACTAAAAGCCATTAGAGCAAAATTAATAAAAGGAGCTAGGCCGTGCTTGGATTTGTTGTAATTAATACAGAGGTGTATATGTTACGCCCATATCTTACCAGCCGCTTAGCAATTCTCCGAGGAAAAAAAAAAGAGCCGAGACCTGTATTCTTTATGCGTGTATTTGAAAAGAACACGACGAGCCTAATAATTAGTTGGTGTACGAAGGTACGGCAAGACTAGCTAGGAACTTTCAACGGTTCATGCAAGTCCGAATACGTCTCCTACAAAAGTAAAGATTGTGGTATATACATCAGCAGCACATAGATCATCCTCTCCGAGAGACAAGCAAGGCATGGTCCATATAGAAACTTGGAGGAAAATTCTAGGATGTGATGACGCATTAGTTAACAAGCACCATTAGTTAAAGTGCAAGAAGCACATCTTGTTCAACTTTGCTTAGTCTCTGCGACTTGTCTTCTTGATGATCAAAATTGGGGTTTAGTGAGCAGCTTGAGCAGAGCCACACGACCGTCTCGTTTGTACTAGGTGCAAAAAACTCAGCTACAACTGCAGGGCGACGGGGATGATGCCCAGGGCAGTAGCGGCCGTCGCCGTCCTGTCTTGGTCTCCGTTGCACAATCGTCCCTCCCGGCGGTGGCCACCGGGGGATATCGCGGGGCTTCTATGTGGCGCGTCGTGCCCGAGTGTAGAGGACATCTCGGAATTGCACAAACTCAACAAATATATAGAGGACCAGCTCCCCATATCACAAGGTCAAATAATGTAGACGCTCCTGCGATGACTGCCGAGGCTCTGCAACCTGTCATTATCCTTGCAGGAAGGCCAAATCTATCACAATCTATTTGCACAAGTATATCCAACCATTCATGCATTAATATAAACATACACATTCATATGCAAGCAGGTGCAATTATCATGATCGATGAGTGAAGCACTTTCATGTAGTTCTAGTTCTTCGAAGAGAGATGCTAATTCCAAGAGGTAAACCAACCCAGCCACCCAGATAGTATCCTCTAGACTCTATATGATGGTAATTTATGCTCAAGTCCAAATGCCTTAGATCGAGGAAAGTGCCATGGGTTCTACTAAAAAAATTGTACCTGGAAAAGATATAATGCACAACTCCAATAAACAAAGTAATATGAGATGGTTCGAGGTGGCAAGTCAAATACTCAACATGCACATAAATGTAGATATCTTGATAGAAAAATAACAAAAGAGACATATTGGCCTATAGGTTCGCCTGAACCGGTAAGCATAGTTATTGCCGGGACTGCCCATCAAACCGAAGCCCGGAAGCAGGGACAAGGTCAGTTTTGTAAGCTCTCAGGACCTTTCCACTATCAAACCAAAGTGGACCGGTTGAACCGAGCGGTTCTTATGAAAATTGGGAGGCAAAACAGAAAATGTTGAACCGGACTAGGTGCGAAAATAGGGGGTGTTCCAGATGATTCGATCACGGATCGCTAGGAAAACATGTCATAGCTAACAATGCGGCCCAATAGCCAACGGTCAAAGAAAATGTACTACTCCTGATAAATAGATTTTTTGACTGAAAATTACAACATGGACTTGTAAAGGTGAAAACCTGAACCGACTACCTTACCGATTTAGTTACTGATCTGGCTTTTCAAACTGTCGGCAACTGCCCTTGGCGTTGGCTTAGCTAGCCAAGCATAAAGTTGACGTAGAGATGTAGAGTAAATACAAGAGGAAGAGGACAAACCAGAGGATGTAGTTACCTAAAAAATCCATCGTGACCGCAGCAGTTAGATTATTCATAAATAAGTAAAGAAACCAAAGAATTGTCGTGTGCTACAACAATAGCAATGCACATCCTCTAGCGACAAAATCTAAAAATCACCACCACAAAAGATATAGGTGGCCGGAGGAAACATTCGAACTCGGTCGACAGCCACCACCAGTAACCCACCACCCCCCGCGGTAAGTGAGACCGACATGACCATATTCCATGGTTGTACCTACAGTTTCCAGTGGATCAAGTTACCTGCATGCTTGCTTGCATTGTATGGAAGAATATGATTTCATCTTCTATTTTATTTTTGAGAGATGGGCGAAGAAGAGCTCATGTTTTTTCTTTTGGTCGTGCTGTTTTGGCTTGGTCGCGTCTTCTTTGATGAATATACACTCATACATGCAGCTCTCCTGCATGGTTCGAGAGAAGAAAAAAGGTTGTTTGGAAGAAAAGAGCTAGACCATAGTGTGGGAACACACACATCGATCCATGACCCAGACTGATCCGATCCAGGTAGGTCATACCTAGCTCGGGGTACGTCGTTCTAAATGATTCCAGACCCCTTATGTATATCCAACTTGCATTGGATGTCATATCCTGATCCTAAATTATGTCAAATCCAGCGATGCGCAAATGGAGTTAACATAATAACATGTCGTTGTGCAGTGAAGGGTTGTTGGGTGCAAGGCATATGGAAAGTTCTGGGAAATTTCTTGGCATTAGTTAACAAGCAGCATCGACCATTCTCACCGACCGTTCTCCCCTCACCTTAACCAGTCATTAGTCAATGCGACTAATTGACAATTGCACATGTTTTCCACTGTGTACAGTCTCTGATCATATCGAGCTAAGCTTGGGGGTGTACCAACCCAGGTTGGGGGTGGTTAGCCGTGTATAAATAACAAGGGTTTAGTGTCCATAGCTTGAGCAAGCCACACGACCATCGTGCAGAAAGCTCAGCTACATCTGCAGCGCGGCAGCCATGGCGTCCAGAGCAGCAGCGGCCGTCCTCGTCCTTGCAGCCTTGATCTGCGCCGCACACTCGTCGGCGGCTGCTGAGGGGCTTTCGCGGAGCTTCCACGCGGCGTCGTGCCCGGAACTGGAGGACATCGCGGGATCGCTCGTGGCGGAGACCTTCCGCCGCGACGTCGGCGTCGCCCCGGCCCTCATCCGCATCCTCTTCCACGACTGCTTCCCGCAGGGCTGCGACGCGTCGGTGCTCCTCACGGGGAACAACACCGAGCTGAATGCCGTGCCCAACCAGACGCTCCGCCCCGTGGCTCTGGACCTCATCGAGCGCATCCGCGCCGCTGTCCACGCCGCCTGCGGCCCGACCGTCTCCTGCGCCGACATCACCGTCCTCGCCACCCGTGACGCCCTCGTCAACGTACGTACAATTATTCTTTCTTTCTTAGCGTCGACTCCGGCCGGGAGAGTTACTCTCAACAGAACCGATTAATTAACTAGCATATATATGCGGGTACGTGGTGGATGCAGGCTGGCGGGCCCCACTTCGACGTCGCCTTCGGCCGCCGCGACGCGCTCGCCCCGGCGTCGCAGGACCTCGTGGACACCCTGCCCGCGCCCTCCTTCGACGTGCCGACGCTCATCTCCTCCTTCGGCAACCGGAGCCTCGACGTGGCGGACCTCGTCGCCCTCTCCGGCGCGCACACCTTCGGCGTCGCTCACTGCCCCTCCTTCTCCGACCGCTTCACTCCCAACGTCGACCTCAACCCGCTCATCGACCCGTTATTCGCACGGAGGCTGCGGGCCAAGTGCGCCAAGGACGTGCCCCAGGGCACCGTCAACCAGACCCTCGACGTGCGCACGCCCGACGAGTTCGACAACAAGTACTACTTCGACCTCATCGTGAGGCAGGGCCTGTTCAAGTCGGACCAGGGCCTCATCGACCACCCCGAGACGAGGCTCTTGGCTTCACGGTTTGCGCTCATCCAATCCGCCTTCTTCCGGCAGTTCGCCAAGTCCATGGTGAAGATGAGCAACATGGACTTGCTCACTGGCACCCAGGGTGAGATCCGGCAGAACTGCGCCGTCCCCAATAGGCGCGTCGAGGGCATCGAGACCGCCAACGACGAGGGCCACACGGCCGCCATGTGAGAGATCAGTTAGTTATCGATGCTAGCTCACGCGTGTGTGTGCTTCCATGTGTGTGTAGCACTGGAGATGGTGTCCTTGTGCTAGTCGTTTTCTGCAGTTGTCGTACGTGTTGTAATAAAATGAGTAAGTGGTCAGCAGAGCAAGAGTAGGAGTATATGCTTCCTACCGTAAGAGGTTCCATTTGGTTAGCGGTGTATGATCACCATCAGTACATCACACTGCCTCCATTCTTCGTCTTGGAGCTAGCACATTTAGTTTTGTTAAGTTAAATGTTTGGCCTATAATTACTCTATCATTATGCAATTTATGCGACATGATATTGATGTCTTAGATTCATATTGAAGAGTAATTACATATAAATATAGTTGTTTTCCCCGCAAAGAAACATAGTAATAGTAATAGCAATAGCTTCCTTTTTGTGAAGAACATAGTAATTGTTTTCACGCAAAAAAATTCCATAGTAATTGTTGGTCAAACCTGTACGTGGTGATGAAGTGCAGCATAACCAGATGAGCTCGGAGAACTGCTACCTTGTCCGTGCCAGTGATGCCGGATGATGGTCAGCACAACATAAGCCTAGAGATGCTACCAAAACTTGCTATTTCAAGCATAAGCAACAACGCAATACATACATGGTCAGAAAGCATACTGCTGCGGATGAAAGGTAAAATCCCATCATCTCTCACTCAACTACTTAGCTACCAACCTAGAGCAAAAATCCATCGATCGCTACATAATCTGAAGCTGGGAGAAGGACAGACGGATGGCAATTTCTTCATGTAGTATAGTATATGCATTGTTTTAAGTAGCATGTTATAGTGTTGCGCTAAGAGACTTTGGTCCTACACGGCAAGTAAAATTTTATAGCGTGTTGGCGCTATAGCATTTAGAGAAGTCCGTCGCTAAGAGGCATAGCTGCTATTTAAAACAATTTAGCATGTTTCACCAACTAATTAACCACCTATTGCTTCGCTAGCTAGCCACCTTTACTTAGTCACTGATCAGGTACTGAACTGTTAGGGTGTCATCCAATTTTTTTTTCCAGATTCGTCAAGCATGTATATCCAACTTGGATGGCACAACTTGTAGTAAACTATGTCCGACCATATTAACATGTACCCCATGGAACCGAATCAATCGAGCAATGTACTCAATTTATATATGTCTTCGTACCTAACCAGCTGCTATGCACTTTTTTTTGCTATTCTCTACGACTTGTCTTGTGGATCAGATCGAGCTAGCTAGCCAGCTTGGAGTTATCCAACCACTTACAAAATAGTTAGGATTTAATTAGTGGGTAGCTTGAGCAGGCCACACGACCTTCCGTCGTAGCTAGGAACAAAATTAAGCTCAACGACAGTAGTCCTGGCTGAAGACAAATAACCAATTTTTTCAGCAAACATTGATTCTTTACTGTTCTTCCAGCAGCCGTGTAAAAATGGTTTACCCTTGGCTTATGGCTACCCTGTTTCAGAACCGCATGTAGTAGAAGTATCTGATGAGTTTGTAACAGGAGCATGGCTGGCTTTTTTTTCTCGAAAAAATATTCGTTTCCCAAATGGATGTAGAGGTCATCTCAATCTGGGAGCGTAAATCGTCCGAGAATTAGCCTTGCATCACTGTCTTTGGTTTGTTTACCATGACTAATTAGAGCCTTATTTTACCACTCAATTAAACCGCCAGTATGATTAGTGGAGAGGAGAGAAAGAAACAAGCTATTTTTTCAGTCCTTGACTGTTGAGAATCAGAAACTGCTGAGATGGGGGGCAGCAGAAGAAAAAACAGAGTGAAGGAAAAATCGGCTCAACTTTGAGGAGCGCTATCAAAAATAAATCGGCTCAACTTTGAAAAAAGGTATTCGTGACCCGTTTCTCTTTCAAGAGCTCCTCGACTGTTATTTCAACATAAAAAATTGCACCCTCCTAGTACAGTCAAACATCTCGGTGCCAAAAAATTACAAGGATTTCTTATTTTTTTCACGAATACGCAAAAGCTTTGCGTATCGTTGCATTGATAGATAGGGTGACAATACATGAAAGTATTACAAGATGTGGAGGCGGCTAAATAGCTCGTACACAGGGATGTCAAGCATCGGTAGCCGTGGCACACGGGGCAACGAGGTGTGCCGCCCAAGAGGACCTAGCCTACATCTCGGGCAGGATTAGGGCCAAGCCCTTAGCACTGGCGCGCGCCCGAGTCGCGCCTCCTCCTGGATCATGAGCACTGCACGTCCGACGGCGGGCTGGTCGTCGTCGAAGAGGCAGCCGTTGCGATGTTTCCATAGGTGCCAAGCGGTGAGGATGACGATGGAGGCAAGGCCGCGGCGGAGACTTGCCGTGGTGCTGGAGATGGCCGTGGAGAGCCAAGTGATGAACTCATCATCGTGGACGGGGACCGTCGCGGTGCATCGGCACCAAGAAAGCACCTCATGACAGACTTGGCGGGAAAAGGAGCAGCCTGCCAGGAGATGTTGCATAGACTCTGGTTCCTGGTCACATAGGAGGCAGCGTGGCTCGTGGGGAAGGCTGTGTCGCGCCAGGCGGTCGGCGGTCTAGCACCTGCCCAACAGAGCTAGCCAGATGAAGAACTTGATGCGGAGCGGCGCCCAGGATCTCCATGTGATACGCCAGTGCGGGTTGGTGATGGATCCGGCGAAAAGAGCTTGATAGCAGGAGCTAGCGGAGCAGGTCCCCGAGGTAGTCCAACTCCAGGACGGCCGGTCCGGCTCGTCGGTGAGGGTCATGTGCCGTAGACGCCGCCAGAGCGAGATGTATTTTACGGTCATGGCCACGCCCATGGAGCCTTGGATGTCGGTGATCCACGCCCGGTTGAGGATACCATCGTGCACCGAGTGAGTCTTGCGCCGACGTTTAGGTACCTTGCACTAGACCAGGGGCGCGATCTCGGAGATGCTTTACACGTCCAGCTAGTGATCCTCCCAGAACATACACGACTTGCCATTGCCGACATACCAAGAGGTTGAGAGCCTAAAGATGGCTTGAACCTCCGGGCAGCGAGGGATGTGGAGGTGCTGCCATGGGCGCGAGGTGTCCGTTTGTTGTAGCCACATCCACTAGGCGCGCAGTGAGATGCCGGTGCGCTGGAGATCCGGGATGCCGAGTCCGCCGAGGGAGATCGACCTACACACCTTGCGCCAGTTGACCTTGCATTGGCCACCGCTCGCATCTTTGTGGCCGTACCACAGGAAGTTGCGGATCAGGCGGTTGATGCGCTTTATGATCGGCCGGTTGTGGGCATGGTTGACAACACATGGTGGCAAAGAGCCAGCCGGTCGCCCCTTGACATCAGAGATGCCCACCACGGCGAGAGCCTGCGTTCCATCTTGTCGATGATGGGCTGTAGATCATTGGAGTTGACCTTGTGGATTGACAATGGTAGGCCGAGGTAGGTGGTGGGGAAGTCTTGGAGCAGGCAGGCGAGGTTCGCGGTGATCAAACGAGCGCGGGTTGAGGGCATCTAGGTCAATGGATGATGTACGCTCGACACCAGTGCCTAGGATCGTCGTGAAGTGGTCGAACGCAGCCTCAGCGATTGCCACCTGCCCATGCAGGGAGGTGTCACCAACGTGAAGCTAGAATATGTGGTTCTTGCGGGCGCGCTGGGCGGCATGGAGGCGGAAGAAGGTGGAACCTGTGTCGCCGGCCTTGAGGAAGTTGAGGCGCGTGCGTTGTCGGGCTAGGGACCGCTCCAGGGATGCCAATGTTGGGGAACGCAGTAATTTCAAAAAAAATTCTACGCACACGCAAGATCATGGTGATGCATAGCAACGAGAGGGAAGAGTGTTGTCCACGTACCCTCGTAGACCGTAAGCGGAAGCATTATAACAACGCGGTTGATGTAGTCGTATGTCTTCATGATCAACCGATCCTAGCACCGAAGGTACGGCACCTCCGTGATCTGCACACGTTCGGCTGGGTGACATCCCACGAACTCATGATCCAGTAGAGTGTCGAGGGAGAGCTTCGTCAGCATGACGGCATGATGACAATGATGATGATGCTACCGGAACAGGGCTTCACCTAAGCACCGCTACGATATGATCGAGGTGGATTATGGTGGAGGGGGGCACCGCACACGGCTAAGAGATCAATGATCAACTTGTGTGTTCTAGGGTGCCCCCCGCCCCCGTATATAAAGGAGCAAGGAGGGAGGCCGGCCGGCCTAGGGGCGCACCAAGGAGAGGGGGAGTCCTCCTCCTAGTAGGAGTAGGACTCCCCTTTTCCTAGTCCAACTAGGAAGCGGGAAGGGGAAAGGAAGGAGAGGAGAGAGGGAGGAAAGAGGGGGCGCCGCCCCCCTCCTTGTCCAATTTGGACTCCCAAGGGGGGGGGGCAGCCCTAGGCCCCCTCCTCTCTCTCACAAGGCCCATGTAGGCCCATTAGTTCCCCTGGGGGTTTCGATAACCCCCCGGCACTCCGATAAATATCCAGTGACCCCCGGAACTCATCCGGTATCCGAATATAGTCGTCCAATATATCAATCTTTATTTCTCAGCCATTTAGAGACTCCTCGTCATGTCCGTGATCACATCCGAGACTCCGAACTATCTTCGGTACAGGAAAACACATAAACTCATAATATCGATCGTCACCGAATGTTAAGCGTGAGGACCCTACGGGTTCGAGAACTATGTAGACATGACCGAGACACGTCTCCGGTCAATAACCAATAGCGGAACATGGATGCTCATATTGGTTCCTACATATTCTATGAAGATCTTTATCGGTCAAACCGCATAACGATATACGTTGTTCCCTTTGTCATCGGTATGTTACTTGCCCGAGGTTTGATCGTCGGTATCTTAATACCTAGTTCAATCTCGTTACCGGCAAGTCCCTTTACTCGTTCCCTAATGCTACATCCCGTAACTAACTCATTAGCTACATTTCTTGCAAGGCTTATAGTGATGTACATTATCGAGAGGGCCCAGATATACCTCTCCGACAATCGGAGTGACAAGTCCTAATCTCGATCTATGCCAA